GGGCAGCGTGCAAGCCAGACGTCTGGCACAGCGGCACCTGCGCTGCCCCCCGCGAGCTCCTCACCTCTGGCCATATTATGGCCAAATCCTGCCGTTAAAACTAGAGGAGCTTACTGGTGTCTCTAGGCAGGAAACAGGCACTTGTTGCTGGACTAGGGCTGCACTCCCACCCAGTGTCAGGGGCTCTCTGGGCAGATGTGGGTGACAACAAACTATAAGGTTCCCAAACTGCTCTTGGGTTTAAGGAACAGCAAATGCAACACAACCTGTGCTTAGTTTTATGGCTTTTTAACTTGTTAAATGGGAAAGCAGAAATTCTTGGCAAATCACTGCATCCCGTGAAAATGGAAGGCATTTCAGAGCAAGGGATGGTGATACCACCAGATATGACATTTGCCATTGCCTTTGCTCAGAGGTCAGCACACCTCCTCCAGCCCTGCACCTGCCAGTCATCACCACAACACCCTGTCCTTGGATCAGCACCAGTATGATGGCCTGGTACACAGCCATGAGGGCTGCATTTTCTCCAGGGCCCTGCAAGCTGGCCCAAGCCTTTGGAGGCTGGCCACCAATTTTCCTGGGCCTCTCTGCTGGAACAGCAGAGACCCAAGAGGACCTTTTGAGCTTTGGAGACCAAATCACTCTGTTTACACATGGGACGCCACCCATCCCAGGCATGGTTCCTGCAGGATCCCCCTCCCAGGTGCTCTGTGCCCTACTGCAATGCAGGGCTAGTTTACACTCCTGGTGATGCTGACTGCACGCTGCTGGGTTCCCTGGGGTAGGGGTTGTTTCTCAGAGCTCTTAGCACCCATTTTGTTCAGCTGTGAGCCAGAACCTCCCCTCATCAATCCCAGCCTCCTTTGCTGCATTCAGCAAGTGTGCAATAGCCAAGGTGCCAGTGCCAGGCACACCTTTACCCGTTCTGCCAGGCTCACTAGTGTGAGGTAATCAGGGCAAGCATGTGAGAGGTACCCTGGATGGGGGCATGTTCCCTGTTCCCTGTTTCCCATCCCAAGGTGGCACACATCATCAGTGTGAGCATGCTTTCGACAAAGCTGTGCTGTGGTAAGAATGCCACAGGTGAGACACCACGGAGAGAAGAGCCACTCTGAGCAGCGTTGACGCATCCAGCACATCAAGCACTCGCAGGGCAGGTTTGGGGCAGCCAGGTTGGACTGGGGAGAGTTTGGAAATGGTGCGGGGGCAGCCAGTAGGAAGCTGGGTGTGCATGGCCAGGTTGGGGAGTACATAACCAGGGCTGTGGGCTGGGATCTCAGGCCATGAAGGGGAAGTTCAAGTTGGACAGTGAATTCTGTCATGTCGTAGCCTCTGTCCAGAGCTCACCAGAGCAAAATGCCAGCTCTGGCTAGGGGAATGCAATGTGAGACAGTATTTCCAGAGACTGACTTAGCAGGCAGATATGAAATATGCAGCCTCCTACCTTCCCTTAGGTAACCCCTCTGGCCTGTATGGATGAAGCGGTAAGAAACGCAGGCTGAACACTTTCCTCACACGCAGTGGAGGAAATGCTTCTGGCTGGAGGCAGCGCCATGCAGTGGAGCAGTGGCTGGCTGGCTACTCAAGCATTGTACACCTTGTACAATGGACCTGGACCTTGTACACCAGCCAGCCTGGAGGAGATGCAGCAGAGTAATCCCCTCTTATGGGGGAGCCATGGATGTCCATGGCTCATCTTTGCCAAACTAAGCATGGCCTTGCAGGGCATGTGTATGTGCGAACCCTCAAGGGAACTGTGTGCTTATAGGGTAAAGCAGGACAGAGAGTCACCAAGTCCTACCGAGTCTCTTTTCGTCCAGAGCTTGTTTGCATTGGGTGTTTGATCATACTTAGGCACAGAAGCTGGCCTTTGGAGCAGCTCTGCCCTTCCTAGGCTTGTCTGCAGTCTTTTGGGCTGTGCTGCAGTTCCCCTCCCTCCCTTGCCTATGAGTAGACAGGGGGTCTCTGTGTCAGCCTCTGTGCCTGTGATTCCCACGTCCTTGTATTGGCTCCTAGAGAAAAAGGTGTGTATCAACTGAGATATTGAGAAAGGCCGAAAAAAAAAACCCTTCTTTTATGGCAGTTTTCTTTTTACTACCAATCTAGATCTGCAACAGGAGAGACTGTCACGCTCTGCAGGCACCATGAAAGCCCAGGAGGCCTTGGCAGCCCGAGGCTGAGTGACCTGTCTGCCATTAACTCCGCTTCTCAGCCACAGGAGAAGGTCCTGCTCATTCGCACTGTGCTCTGAGCACTTCAGCAGGGGCCCTCTCCTTCCCCAGCCCAGCACCTGGGAGGGGGAGGAGTTCAGGCCCTGTAGGGACACAAGAGCTTTGGAGGAAGAGGACATTTTCAAGTGGCCCTGGCTGATTAAAGCCCATTCACCCCCCTGAAGGCCAATTCTGGGCTGCTGAGGGAGATGACTTGGCTTTCAATGGGGACAGGCTCCAGGCACTTAGCCTGGAATTGTCCACCCTAAATGTGTGAATTGAGCTGATTATGCTGATTGGGAGGCCAGGGTATGGGAGAGGTGCTTGAGGTCTCAGATCTGAAAGGGAAACAAGCTGGAGAGAGAGGGAGCCCATCTCCAAGGAAAGAAGAGCCTAGTTGCTGCATCTATTTACTGGAGGAGCTAGGAGGGGAAACCTGAAGGCCTCAAGTGGCTATTTGACATGGCTGCTAGGCCAGGCTTGTGCTCCAAACCACTGTGTAACTCTGATTTGCAATATTTCCAAGAGACAGCTGCTGGCAGCAAAGCTGTAGATCTGAATGAAGCAGGTTTTCATGGTGCAATAAAGGACCAAATAGCAAAATAGGGAGAACTTCTTAAAGCATTTGTTTAGTTGCTGCTAAATCTTCAATGTCCTGAGTGAGATTGTACCGCCAAACTGCTGTTGCTCAGTGAATGCAAATACAGTGTGGGCTGGTGAACCAAGAGTGAAATGTGGAGCCTCCCTTGGGTGCAAATACTGTCTGCTGCAAGTTTGCCCCAGAGCACATCCCATCTTCTGATGGGTCCTCAGTGAGTCTTCTCACACTGGGATCACTCCTGCTTGGGAAGTGGGGCCATTACCAGCCCCCCGGGGCAGGGGCAGAGTGTGTTTCTCCAGCCTGCTCTGATCCCTGCTCTGGGTGCCCCTGTACAGGCAGAATAGCCCTATTTCTAGCACAACTGCTCCTTGCTAGAGCGTCCTGGGGCTATGTGTCAGCCTTTGTGCCCTATGCAGGGCTGTCTTTCAGAACAGCCTGCTTTCAGCTCACACCCCCCATGCGAAAGGGCTGGTTGGTCTTTTGCCTAATTGAGACAACTAGGGAATGGTCCCTGAGCTCAAAGCACAGCAGGTAATGCTCAGTGTTTTCTCTGGGCCATGAGCCTTTCTGCACTCCCCCAGGTCTTAAGTGCCGATACAGGCAGTGAAGAAGTGGCATTGAAAAAAATCCAACTGGGTGCCTGACAGTAGCATTTAGGGCAATCCTTTGGCAAATCTAGCCTGGACCAGGAGCTGAGGAGCTCTCACATGTAGGAGTAGGACCCTGTGGGGCCAGGGGCCAGGCTGAGGCGAGCTAGGCATCGGACAGGAGCTGCAGAGAAGCCTCACATCTCCTTGACTGCTCTCACTGAG